GAGGTCTGGTAGATAAGAAGGAAGCAGCAAAACAGCCTGGAAAAGAGGGTCTACGGGGATGGAAGTCAATCAGGTGAAGAAAGTGCTTCAAAGAGGAAAGGCATGATCCACTGTGTCAAATGCTGCTGACAGGTCAAAGAAGATTAAGTGGATATTGAATTTAGCAACACGGAGGTTATTCCCACAGTTATTCAGTTGGAATAGGAGGGGAGACAAAAAGCCTGTCCCCAGAAGTGGGTTCAGTCAATGGAAGGAAAAGAATCAAAGAGACAATGAGTATAAACAACTTTCAAGGAGTTTTGTTGTAAAAGTGGAGATTAATTGGCAGAATATGGGATGAAGAGTGTACCAGAGAGAAGAAATGGATTCTTCAGAAGTGCCAAAGTAGGAAAGACATGTCAGGAACTTCAATTAGCTCAATGTTAATAAAGTGCAAAGCGAGAAATGGCTTTGGCAGATTAGGCTCTAAGGAAGGCAGAGGTTCACTATCACGCTAAGGAATTTGGGTTTTATCTTGGAGGTGAAATAGCATAATGACATAATCATTTTTACTTTTTAGAATACTTTGGTGGCAAAAGTGAAGGTGGGTTAGCAGACGACTGGAGACAGAAAAAATTAAGAAGCCTGAATTTGGGGAGGGGGAAGCAGAGAACGGCAGAGAGATAAAGACATTAGTAGGGTACATATGGCAAAAGGCCATGGCTTCCCATGTGGCTCAGCAGGTAAAGAAACCACCTGCACTTCAGGAGACCTGGGTTTGATCCCTGGGTGGGAAGATCCCCTGGAGAAGGAAATGGCAACCCATTCTAGTATTTTTGACCTGAAAAATTCCATGGTTAGACGGCCCTGGCCAGCTTAGCATATGGGATCGCAAAGAGCCGGGACAGGACTAAACACAAACGCATAGCAAAGGTTTAGCTCGCTCACCCGCCTGCCTTGCCAGGAGAGCACCCTACACATACTCCAAAAACATCCTCTTAGGATTTTCACAACTCCCAACGTCCAAACTTGTTAATTCTGCAGTAAATAAACTTCCATCGGGTTTCTTTCCCATAAGACTTCATTTGAAAATCTGAAAACTCCTGAGGCTTTTTAACATATTAAACCTTTTCACACTGCGTAGTGACATACAATACAGGCTCTTCCTCAAACCAGGAGAGCCCAAGGCGTTGAGGACACCACCTATTATTCTGGTTGCCTGGAGCTGGCCACTGGAAGGCCCTTCCCTTGAAGGCCCTGGGAGCTTCTGGTAGTAGGTCGCTGATTCTCAGCCCCTCACCGCCTCTGTTAGTGGGTGACGACACTTTTGGTCCCCCTGCTCTTCTCCAGCCTCTTAACCTTCCCTCCTAGTCACTTCTGACCCGTTTCCATCTCCCAGAAACCATTACTGCGCTTGCCTCTTCCTCCTCACCTTAATGCCTTTCTCCAAACCCACCGCTAGGCGATAGTAACTAGGGAGCCGGGAGGTACGGAACTGCATCTTGGGACAAGTAGTCCTGCCGAAAAGAAAGTGGAAACTACAATTCCCAGAAGACACTGCCGTTTCCTCTCTTTTTCTCATGAAGGCCCTTTAACTCCACTCCCCCCCCCCCCCTTTAAAGGATCTCTTAGCCACGTCAACTACAGGGGTAAAGCCTTTTAAAGATATTTTCAAGTTCCTTAAATCTATTATTTCCAGAAAGTTCTGGAGGATAAAGTGAGAAATAAGCTAAGCTAGAGGGAGGAAAATGAGGTCACGACCTGGTCTGGCATGTGGCTGGACAGCCGCTGAGACAGTGCTCAGGCACTTGGTGTGGCCGCCTAGGAGGCGGGGCCTCAAGGAGCGCCCGGAAAGCTCGTGGACCAGCGTGGGGCCTTCCTTTCGGATCCGCCATCTGCGGTGAGTGTGTGCTTGCGGCCGAGCTCTGTCCCGTAACCTGCCATCGCACCTCCTGTTTTTCCGGGTCTCATCTGTCTCCTCCTTTTCCTCACCCTCAGGTGGAACCGCCGCCAAGATGCAGATTTTCGTGAAGACCCTGACGGGGAAGACCATCACTCTCGAGGTACGGGCCAGGCCGGGGAGAAGCCGCGGCCTGATGGAGGGAGGGCCTGAGGCGGATCTCGGCACTGGCGCTGCTTTCCGCCGTACAACGCGTTTGTGAGCCGGACTTCTAAAATCTGACCTTGAAATAAGAGTTGTTTGTTGAGCCGTGGCCTAGGGCGCGTTTTCTATGCCTGAAGTCCGAGTGTGTCACTTCTAGGCGTTCCGACGGGGTAGCCGGAGCCGGCGTCGCGCGGTGGGAGGGAGGTGCTCTTGTAGGTGGGCGCGAGCACGTGTGGCCCGGCCGCGCCGTCTGGGGCTCTCCTAGGTGGGTTTCGGCCCCCACCGGCTCGGTTCCTTGGTAACTTTCAAGTTTCTTACTCTGTTACCGATATGTTTGCGTTTTAAAACTCATAGGTCGAACCCTCGGATACAATAGAAAATGTAAAGGCCAAGATCCAGGATAAGGAAGGCAAGTTGGTATTTTCTGATTCAGAAAAACTTACCTGTAGAGGCTCTTGTCAGGCGCTAGACATACCTGCTCTCTGTGGGGTGGGAAGAGGTCTGATTGAAACGAGTTTTACGAAAATGCTTTTGGAATAACACAGTAGGCAAACGTTTATCAGCATGGAGCCAAACTACAGTTAGGTTTCACGTCTGTGAATTCGAAGGAGCTAGCTAATTTAAACTCAATGTCTTCTGTAAAGTGGCTATGTTAATGTATATTAAGAGTAAATGAGATTAAAATGCGTAAACATTTACAGTTACACCTTGCCTGTAGTGAGAACTCACTGATGACTGTCAGTACCATTTACTTGATTCAGGATTGTAAATCATGAGCAGATATGCTTAATTTACCATCATTTATGTATTCAACTTGTTTCCCATTAGGAATTCCTCCTGACCAGCAAAGACTGATCTTTGCTGGCAAGCAACTGGAAGATGGACGTACCTTGTCTGACTACAACATTCAAAAGGTCTGTTTGGAGGAAAGCAGCCCTTTAAGTATAAATATATGTCACAACTGGGAATTTTGACCAGTATTCAAAAGTAGGGCGAATAGCATTCAATGAGCAATAGTATCCCAGGTGATTCCTTTATCAGCATTTGAGAAGTGCTGCTACAGTCCCCTACATTTTGGATTTTGCACATTGCATCCCATGATGTTATTTAACCTTTCTATAGTAGTTTATATAAGACTGAGATCCCCACTCTGCCCCCCAACATTCCATCATCTGTGGGTGTGCTTGACATCCAGTTAGAAGGTGCATGATGCTGGTTGTCCATTCTCTGGACACTAGCATTAATGTAGCCATTTTTAAAGCCTGTTTCATTCTCTGTTCAATAACAGGAGTCCACTCTTCATCTAGTGTTGAGACTTCGTGGTGGTGCTAAGAAAAGGAAGAAGAAGTCTTACACCACTCCCAAGAAGAACAAGCATAAGAGAAAGAAGGTTAAATTGGCTGTTCTTAAATACTATAAGGTGGGCCAAATAAGTTTTTTGTCTATAGATTAATAATTTTGTTTGCATTTCTGGTTTCAAACTCTTTTTTATTAAAGAAGTTTGGGGTGTTTTTTTTCCTGTTTTGGTGTTTGGGCTTTATGTAATGGGGATTACCTGTAGCTATTTCATTTCAACTAAGCTTTGGATTCTAATGTCAGTTTGGGTTCAGGCCTTAACTCTGTCCATCACTTGCATGGCTGGACTTTAAAAACTCAACTTCTTGTACTAATTACTGGTGAGAATTTGGGATGCTTTGGTTTGTAAATACTAAAAACTATCATTGTTGTGTAATTTAAAGGGTAAACATTGTGAGTCACTTATAAACCAGATCTCAGAATATGTTGCAAGATTATCTTAATAGCAAGTTTCTGCTTTTTAGGTGGATGAGAATGGCAAAATCAGTCGCCTTCGCCGGGAGTGTCCCTCAGATGAATGTGGTGCTGGAGTTTTTATGGCCAGTCACTTCGACAGACATTACTGTGGCAAATGTTGTCTGACCTATTGTTTCAACAAACCAGAAGACAAGTAATTGTATATTGGCTAATAAAGATATGAACTAACATTTAAATGTTGGGTTTTATTCCACTGCTTTTAAAAGTGGACTTTAAGCATCAAATTTTCTAAAGTAACCTGTACTTCACAGAATTACGGTATATTTAGTATCAGTTGTTTAGATTTAAGCCAGTTATTTTGACCTCAGCAGTACTGACATTTAGACTGATAATTCTTGGTTATAGGGGCCTTCCTGTGCATCAGAAGGATAATGAACAGCATTCCTGGCCTCTGCCCACTTGATGCCATGAGCATACTATTCTGTTCCCTCCCCACAGCCAAAAGTATCTAGACATTGCCAGATGACCCCTCAGGGTGGTGAAGAACTATGCCCTTCCTCACCCCTGCAGATTGGGAAACACTGGTTTGTGTGAATTGGTATTACAACCTTGCCTTAAAAAGCTACAGTATACTTGTTTCCTACAAACGAAGTTTAAAGGCTGAGCTCCTGAGTTGCCAATTAATTCATCCCAAGTCTGGATGGTTTGGCTCAAAATTTGCTGTTTGCAATACAAAGGGTACATGCTGCTATTTAATGCTATGTGTGTAAATTCTAATGTTTACTTACTGGTAGTATTGATGCTAAAAAACATGGTTTCATAGTTTTGCCTGGTTTTGCCTCTAGAGCACAGTTCAGGATTACTGAACTAAAGCACCTGAAATGTTTTAAACTGATTATTAAGAGTCAGTGATATACCAATAATAGTTTCCTTTAGCCATATTTTCCCATACCAGGATTTCTAGTTGTAGGCATCCTTAAATAAGGTTTCCTAGGACTGTAATAAATAACAGTTAAATACCAGTTAAAGCTTGGTAGAGCTTTTTGACCAGTAGTAAGTGATGAAGTATACCTTCAGTAAAACAAAACTAGTTGCTCTATAATAAGACAAAAACATTTAATCATTTATATTTTTTAAAATAATTTTAAAATCCTGGATCCCAAGAAGTCTTGGCTGGAACTTGTTTTTCTTCGTAACAAACAACAGCATCTCCCACTTTAAATTCTATCTTTTCTTCATCCAAACTAAGACCACAGTCCATTCCAGTTTTGACAACTGAAGTATCATCTTTATGGTGTTTCAGTGAGATTAACGAGCCTTCAGGGGAAAAAGAAAATACAGGGTTCATATAGTCAACAGATAAGTGTCCAGCAAGTGCGGGTGTCGGCTACAACAGCAGACTACAAGGAAAATTACACCGAAATTATTACAGGTTTCACACTTCTTCCATGTTACATGATGGGGCTAAATACCAAGGAAAGGGAAGAAAGTTATGTGGTTGTAGTGATCTTCCTTTTTAAAGGTTAACACTGCAAGGGATGGGATGGTTCTCAGGACTTGGATGAGCTAAACCAGGGTGACACTGCAGGCAAAGGTGGTTGGAGGATGGAAATAAGGAGACGGCTGGAAAGTGCTTCCCAGGTGGCCCTAGTGGTAAAGAACCTGCCTGTCTGGTGCAGGATACAAGACATGGGTTCAGTCCCTGGGTCTAGAAGATCCCCTGGAGAGGGGCATGGCAACCCACTCGAGTATTCTTGCTGAAAAGCTGGACAGAGCCTGGTGGGCCTTAGTTTGCAGGGCCACAAAGAGCCAGACACAACTGAAGCAACTTAGCACACGGCTGGAAAGGTAGTTTGGGGTGAATTTTTAGAACCTTAGAAAATCAGACTGGGAAACTAACAATCCTATGGGAATCACTGGGCCTGGAGGCCAGATAAGGAGTTAGCAAAAGGTGACCTGAACTAAGACTATACCTCAGATAGTAATCCACAATCAGGTTTTTAGTGACTGGATATGATAGGAACAGTTTTATGTTGCTTACCCTTCCAAATAACATGTCCATTGCGGATTAACTTAAATTTTTTTTGCTTTTCTATCTGTCCCTTTTGGACTCTGCAGCCAGCCACAGGAACTTTTTTCTTCCCTTCTGTTATAGAGAAGGTAGCTAGTATAGAAGCCTCACCTTTAGGAAGAAGAGAACATTATACTGAAAACAAATTCTGACAAATACATAGTTTCTGACATTCTGCACAGCAAAAATTAAAGGCATGAGGAAAAAATACAAACTCTGGTAAAGAAGTCCTGATTTTCTGACTCCACCACTCTATTTTCCTGGCCAATGTTAGAAATAAAAGCATAAAAATCCTTGGGTATTCTTGGAAATGTACTTACCAAAAGAATGAACAAAAGAAACATATTTACTGTTTTGGCTGAATAAAATGCAGTAGAAGATGCTAACAGCTGATTGTAAAATGAGCATAATTTCTGTCTACTTCATGAAAAGCTAGTTCTCAGTCATCCTTCAATAGTTTCTCAACTGGATCATATTAAGCTCACTGCTGGTAGATTATACACACTTAAGGTACTAAATCTCTGACTCCTCAATTTTTTTACTGACTGAAATTTGAAACATTCCAATACGACATGGTATCACACACTAGAATGTACTAGTTTTCTAGGGTGAGTGCTATTTGGTGTTCACTTACTCCTAGGAATCCTCATATGACTTTTCCAAATTGCTCTTAGCACAAGAACATAACAAATCTCTGTATGATCATGTTTAGCAGGTCAGAATAAAATAAATCCGCATTGTGGACCAAAAATGCAAATACTGAGTCTCATCATGAGGAAACAGACAAAGTACATTCAACAAAGTCACTGGCCTGTAGCACTTCCAAAACGTCAAGGTCAAAAACGACAAGAGCGGGGACTTCCCTGGTGGTCCAGTGGCGGAGACTCCATGCTCCCAATGCCAGGGGCCCAGTATAATCCTGGTTGGGGAGCTGGATCCTGCATGCTGCAACTAAGACCTGGTGCAGCCAAATAAATATTTTTTAAAAAAAGAAACAATCTGTCATCCTGGATCAAGGGAAAAATATATAAAGTACATTATAGAAATAATGAACATGGACTGTTGACTTAGAGTATTAATGTTCAATTTCCTAATTTTTATATTCTGTGGTTTTATAAAAGAACATCCTTGTGTTTAGAAAATACAAATATTGGGTAGGCCAAAATGTTCATTGGTGTTTTTACATACGAACTTTTGGTCAACCCGGTATTTAGGGGCAAATGAACACAATACCTCAAATTTACAATTAAGTAAGCCCAGGAAAAAAAAAAAAACTGTGTGTGTGTATGGAGGAAGGGGGTGGGCTAAAGCAAATGGGGCAAATGTAAACAACTGGTAAACTGGAAGTGAGTTCCTTACACTTTTCCAGTAATTTTTCAGGAAACTTAAAACTATCATCAAAATTAAAAGTTAACCAAGAAAATCTGGATGTGGGGAGGAAAAAACGAGATGATTCAGTCCATCTTAAATAAATTTAGCCTTTAATCTGACCAAAGGATATGTTAGAAAAAATAATTTTAAATGTTAAATTTTTAATGTAAGTTTTCTTATGGTGGATTTCTCTTGCCAGTTGCAGGACACAATCAATGGCTCCTTCCACAACACTATTAATAACCTTTATGCCTCCATCCAGTCTACTTTGTATTATAATGAGTTGTTTATGTCTAACTAGAGGAAACGTTCTTACTGCCTTACTGCCTTAATATCCTCACAGCCAAAGCATAAAACCTTACAGAGGCCAGGTATTTATAATTCAGATCAAATTATGCTGAACCCTTATCTAGAGTAGCCATTTTTTCTAGAACACAGGATATGTGTTGGAACAGTGAACATATTTAAACAGTGAAATACATTTCCCCTTAAACTTTGCTTTCAAGTGTTACTCACAGCAGGTAAGGTATGAATGTTTAGAAGTACCATTCAATGAACACTCACCTACTGGGTGCTCTTCCACAATGCAGGGCAATCTGCTGCTCAGTTCTTCCTGCAAATCTTCAATAAGATGGTAAATGACTTTGTGAAGTTTAATTTTTACTCCCTTTTTTGCAGCCAACTGCTGGATAACATTGCCTGCATTCACATTGAAGCCATATATAACACCTGGAAAGCACAAATAGAATAAAGTAGCACAAATATTGCATTAAACAGTCTTTCAAGCAAAAATTCAAATCTAAAGTTTTTGCTTCTATGTAAGTTAAAAACAAGTAGGAGAGATAAATTCTGTAACATTTTCTCATGAAAGTCAGTTTTCAAATTAATAAAAATATTTTATAAATTCTGTTATGGCTTACTAAAAAAGGAAAATTTATTTGATTTTTAAGTGTTCTTTATGATGTTTAATGTTCATTTAGGAAACATTTTAAGTGCCCAAAATGTGCAGGGTGATACGGTAAATGTTAATTTTTACACAAGGGAAATAAGAAAAAAAATGATTATAGCTAAAATATTATTAATTATTTTAATAATTGTTATTAATTGCAATCTTATAGCCTACAACTTTTGTGGTTTGCTCTGAAGTATTCAGCCGACCAAAAGATGTTCAAAAACACATGACCCTTGAGCAACACAGGTGTTAGGGATGCTGATCCTCCAGACAGTTGAAAATCCAAGAGTAACTTATAGTTGGCCCTCCATATGTGATTCCTCCACATGCAAGGAGTCAGCCAACCTCAGATCTTGTAGTACTATAATATTTACTACTGAAAAAAATCCATTTATAAGTGGACCCACAGTTCAAAACCATGTTGTTCAAGTATTAACTGTAGTTACTTAATTAGATAAGTTCAAGAGTTATTTAAGAAATGAAAGAAGTACCATGGAGCTGACCATTTTAACAAAGAACAAATGGGGGAAGCAAAAGCAAAACACTTTCCTTAAACAAGTGAAAAAATTAAAGCAAATGGCTTAGTCAGGAGAAAAACATAACCACCTTGAAAATCTTGTCATTAAGAAATCGTTCAACACACTACACTATCCACATTAACAGTACAGTCGGTGTCCATAAAGTACTCTGAAATGCCCAGCATTACGGAAGACACCATCTCCGTGGTAGAGGTAACAACTAATTCTAATCAAGTTAGGTCATGAAGTACCTCCTTCCTAAATGATTCACTAATTCAATAAAATCAGTGCTTTGCCTAGCTGTTACACCCAGTCAAAGTGACGGTCATGCAGTGATGAGTCCCCGTTCTGTGTAACGTTAAGTTTGACTTATAAACAGTCCCCTTGCCTTCGAGGTATTTAAAGCTAAAAGGAGCTTTTGATCTAAGAAAAATATAATTTATAAAATTACAAGTGAACAAAAGTAGGCAGTCAAAAGCAAAAGACAAAAGAAAACACTGCAGATTTCAGGGGCATTCAAAAGTCTAAGTGAAAGAGAGAACCAAGCTTGGGTTTGGTTCAGGATCTGGGCAAGATGAGGTGGCAGTAACGGTACACTGGGAAAAAAAAATCAAGAAACACTACTGGGGCTTGAAATAGTTCCCCAAGATTTCAGTACAATAATGACAAGTGGGGCTGAGCCTGCAATACTGCACATCCTGTGCAGTATGCAATCGCTAGCTGAGACTAGACTGCCAACAGGAAGGGGAATGCAGATGGGGAGTAAATGTCAGGTGTCAGCAGCCCAGCAACAAAAGACAAAAGTGAAAGGTTCAGAGTGTCTTCTAGGGAACACAGTTAAATAGGAAATGGAAAACTTACCATGAAATGTTTCAGCAAGGTTGACATCATTTTCACTAATATCACCCACACCAAAATGTACCAATTCTAGTTCACACTCATGTGAAGCATCATAGGTATCCATAATGTTCAAAATGGCTTCAACAGAACCATCAACATCACCTAAATGCAGCAAAAGTTTAAAAGTATTGATGTTAGGAGTTAGGAATTAACAGACTCAAAAATTATAATAATCTATTTAAAGAAGTAATAAGAATGGCATTTATCATGGAATATATTCTTATTTAGGTTTAGCATGATAAATACCTTCTTAGCTGAACAAAGTATAATGAACCAGATATACATTTACAGCAAAACTCACAAGAAAATTGTTTAAAGAAATCTCCCCCAGTGGAGGTGGGCAAAAAGGGTAAAGAGGGTCAAAAGGTACAAAATTCTAGCTATAAAATAAACATATAATGGGGATGTAATATACAGCATAGTGACTATAGTTAATAATACTGCATTGCTTATTTGAAATCTGCTAACAGAGCAAATCTTAAAAGTGCTCAAGAAAAATTTTATAACTCTGTGTTAGTGAGAGATGCTAACTAGATTTACTATGGTGGTCATTTCACCATATATACAAATACTGAATCATTATGAAAATGTTACATGTCAATTATATCTCAACTTTTAAAAATTCCCTTCCAAAACACTGAAATCATTTCAGCTTACAGCCCAAATTAATGTGAGAATGACAAAATATGAAAAAATGACAAAAAAATGAATTGTAAAGTAAAATCTTTTAAAAGTCACCTTTAACAATTATTGGAAGTACATTTGAATCTCTTTCTAGTTTTTCTTTCAGCTTTAAGGGTTGCTGCTGTCTTTTCTCTTTGTACTTTATATATGATCTCTCCTTCCAGTGCAAAGTGCCATACTTCTCGCGGTCTTTCCGATGTGCTTCTTGGTGTTCCTTTCGCTTTTCTTCTATTAATTTTAAATCCTCTTTATTTTTCTCCTGTTCTTGCTCATACTTTCTCCAGTCAACAACTTCACGTGCCCTTGGCTTTATAGGAGGAGAAAGGGAATTACTTAACTGAACAGAAACCAATAAATGCTGTTTTTTTCCTCCACTGTAAAATAAGTTTAACTCATATGCGAAACCACTAATTAAAACTTTAATATGGAGACTGTGTGTAAATTTGAAATTATTTAAAAATCCAATCTCAAATTGCTAAAAATTCTACAGCCAAACTCTAAAATGACATCACTGGCCACTCACACATGTTATAGTACTGGATTATTTATTAACATTACTTATTTTGTATTGTAACATTATAGACTGATATTTTAAATCACTATATCATATTCTATGTTATAGGAATTAAGCTTAATATACCTCAGATTCTACTTCAAGAATTTCATCTCCTGCAGAAGGGAGGTCTCTCCAGCCTATGATTCCCACTGGCATGCTAGGATAGGCCTCATTGACTGCTCTGCCATTTTCATCAAACATTAAGCGTACTTTTGCCCAACTCTTTCCAGCAACCAGAATGGAGCCTTTTCTCAAAGTTCCTCTTTGAATTATAGCTGTAGTAACAGGACTAATATGAAAATAAAAGCATATTTTTTTAATGTCATAATCAGGATATAATAGCACTTTCTCAAGTAAAGATACCTTTAAGAGATTACAAAATATTTATTAATATGAACAAACAAGGTTAATTCCACCACTTCTTAACTTCTCAAATAATTTTTCATACTATTTGCTGTTCAGTTGCTCATTCGTGTCCAACTCTTTTCGACCCCATGGATTGCAGCACGCCAGGCTTCCCCTTCCTTCACCATCTCCCAGTTTCCTCAAGCTCATGTCCACTGAGTCAGTGATGCCACCCAACCATCTCATCCTTGTCGTTCCCTTCTCCTCCTGCCTTCAATCTATTCAATTTTCATACTATAAAAACATTTTTCATAACTGTAACCTAAGTGTCCATTAATGGAAGAATCAATAAAGAACATGCAATATATACATATAATGCAGTATTATATAATCTTGAAAAAAAATCCTGTCACATGCTAGAATATGGATGAACCTCCTAAATGAACATTATGCTAAGTGAAATAAGTTAGTCAAAAAGGACAATATTACATGATTCCACTCATACAAAGTATCTGAAGCACTGAAAATCACAGAAACACTACTGAAAGATGTTGCCAACGGGTGGGGGGAGGAAAAGGGGAAATTAACACTTTATGGGAATAGTTTGTTTTGCAAGATGAAAAAGTTCTAGAGATCTGTTGCACAACAATATGAATATACTTAAGACTACTGAACTGTATGTTTAAAAATAGTTAAGATGGTGATTTAATATTATGTATCTTTTACCACAATTTAAAAAAAGAAGAAAACACACAAAAAATATTTCTTGTAAGGTTATGGTGGTGAAGGGTGCAGATAGTTGAGTATTTTGACAAAATCCTAATCCTCTTTCTATAACTAATAGGTTAAGCAGTGAAAAGACCTCTTCTGCTAATAAGGAGGGAAATTAAAGATAAGAACACTATTCCAACAATCTTACCATATATTAATGGGTAAGGACATAAAGGATTTAGAAACCCAAAAATGCAACAATTGCTATTTCATTCTAATTTATGTTAGCCTATAAGATTTTACCAATTCAGCTAAATCAGTGGGGAAGAAAACAAAAATCAAACAAACTGAACTACTAAGTCACCTAAACAGGACTACTAAATGTATACACATAGTTGCTGTGGTCTCTTGATAACTGCATGTTGGGTTCTGTGTGCCAGTGCAATAAAAAACTTTTTTTTTTAATAAAAAACTTTTAAAAACAAATGCTTTGAAAATACTGTTCATGTGTTAACAATAATATGTAATACATATAATATATGGTTATATAATCAGGTCACAAAAACAATGAAATAAAATTATTAGAAAATATGCATTTTAACAGACCTACCCTCTTCCTTTGTCTGTGAAAGATTCTATTACTGTTCCTTCAACTGCACCAGTAGGGTCTGCTTTCAATTCCAACATTTCTGCAAGAGCAATAGTTGCCTCTGCCAAACCCATCATGTTTTCGCCCTTAAAAACAAACAAAAAAAAGAGTTGTTAATATACATTAATAAATATTATCGGTAAATGTAAATACCAGGATCAGAAAGTCAAACAACCCTTGACAGCAATACTTTCCTCTTTAAGCATAAAAAACAGGAATTAACCTATAAGAAGGATGGAAGGGAGGGAGGGAGGAAAGGAAGGAAGAAAAGAGAGAAGCAAGAAAAATCTGACCCTGGGACAGATCTTGCAAGGAACAGTGCCTGTATTATTTTTCAAAGAATAGGTACTAGTGCTTGTCAATACCCTTTTATAAACATATGCTTCTTTCACCCTCATTCCTTAATGTGTTTCTATAGATGAGTTTTTTTCCTCTCACTTTCTTTACAATGCTACTTTACATTTGAAGTTCTAGCCAATTAAATAAGCTTTCACTGATTTCATTTTGATCACTCAAGAATTCAATGAAATACTACTATTCTCATTAAATAAATGAGGAGACAAAGCACTGACTAGACCCAGGCTATAAGCTACACTCTAACTACTCAGCTGTGCAATCTTGGAAAATCACTTCACCTCTCTGCATTCGTTGTTGTTGTTCAGTCATGCAGTCGTGTCCAATTCTTTGTGACCCTATGGACTGCAGCCCACCAGGCTCCTCTGTCCATGGGATACTCCAGGCAAGAACACTGGAGTGGGTGTACATTTCCTTCTCCACTCTCTGAATTGCCTTTCCTCAACTGTAAACTGAAGGAGCTAGATTAGATGACTCTTTCACCTTTAATGATCTCTGTTTATTGTGCTTTCTAAGGCTCCAAGATCATGTAGCTGATTAACTCGTGATGCAACTGGAATTGATGAGCAAGAGAGTTTTCCATTGTCCATGTTAGCTAAGAGACTGCTCACAGTTGTTACAAAGTATAAAACAATAGAGACAACCTTAACAAAACTAACTAAACACTCTGCTTACCCATCTACTTAATCCCTAGTATTTATTTCAATTTACAAAATACTGCTCTGAAAAGCAGAGTTGGGGTTGTTTCTTTGCATGTAAAGTCCCCGATTCCTTCTTGGAAAAGAAGGCCTCATCTTACTTCCCTGCTACTCTCTTACCTCTACTCCCCAGGAATCATATCTGCCATGCCTTCAAATTTATGTAAGCAGAATCACATCTATCTATGCACTCATCTGATGGTATCTAGGCAGAAAAAGCAGTCATGTCTTCAAATGTTCTACTCTTGCCATCCAGTTTTCAGAGTGTAGTAAAAATCAAGGTACAATAGAAAGATAAAAAACTAAGGTGGCATATTATGAGTTTCAGAAAAAAAGAGGCAGAGTTTTATTATTAATGGAGACAAAACTTCTAATCATCTTGGAGGAACAAATTTAAGAAAAGTAAAGATAAAATGAGACTTAATTGGAGGAAGGTGGCCAAATAAAGTAAAATTTCTTCAGTGAATGATCAGAAGGAAAAAAAGTCCATATTATGAGTAAACCATGGAATATGGTCAGAATGAACAAAAATGAAATTGTTACTTAGTAAGCTACCTTCAGAGGACAAGAGAATTGGAAAGTGCTGTCACAAAACAGGTAATGAGTTTCTTTGGTGTTTTTTATCCAGAAAAGAATAACTGGTAATTTAATGGGCTTCCCTGGTGGCTCATTGGTAAAGTATCTGCCTGCCAATGCAGGAGACAGGGGTTCGATACCTGATCAGGAAGATCTCACATGCCAAGAAGCAACTAAACCCACGCGTCCTAACTACTGAACCTGTGCTCCAGAGCCTGGGAACAGCAACTAGAGAAGTCGCTGCAGTGGGAAGCCTTCACATCGCAACTAGAGAGCAACCTCCGCTTGCCAAAACTAGAGAAAAGCATGAGCAGCAACGAAGACCCAGCGCAGCAAAAATACAATAAGCAGGTAAATAAAATTATTTTAAAAAGAATAGGTAGTGAAAAGAAAATGGAATTCATCACAAATAACACTGTAAAACTTACAGTAATTTAAGTTAATTTAAGTTTCACAGAAGCATTGGGTCAATCAATAACAGAAAGAACCCAAATGTTACAACACCGTATTAGTAAAAAGTTTTATTTGTTTAAATCTCCCTTAAGTGCCCTAAGACCTATTCTACAGCTTTTCACTTAAAAACAGGCACTTTTTACTACCAACCAAATTTCATTTCTGCTTAAAATAGTCTTTAGCCTACTATTATCCTATCTATCCCTACGACATTTACTACTTATTCTCCTCATTCTAAGTATCTCATAGTAAGTAAAGCACAGTTTAAACCTGATTCTCCTGGACTGGTGACTAACCTTTCTGAGACTAATTTCTAATCTGCCAAACCAGGATAAAGATACCAGCTTTGCTGAGTACTGAGAGAATTTTTAAATGGGGACAGAAATTCTGTGGGTCAAAATGTTCTGGAGCTACAAGGCACCCTGTGCCTTTCATGCAGCACTCTTATCTGAACACACCTGTACTTACCGTGAGTGCAGAGACATGCACTGCTTGAACGTCGCCTCCATAATCCTCACACACCACATCATAGGCTAGCAGTTCTTTCTTCACTTTCTCAGGATCCGCCTCAGCTTTGTCACATTTGTTTATGGCAAGGACAATAGGAACTGAAAGAAACAGAGTTAAGAGTGCAAATGATGGCACTTCAACTCCAGGTATTCACATCAAAACACAAAATTTTCTGGCTTTCTCTTAACTCAGTGACTGTGTTTATCTAACAAAAGACCCACTTTAGACCCACCCTACCCTACTTTCTACACATGGAGGATTCCAGATAAGAGATGTCAAAACAGCAAGTATAAGATTCTGAATAAGACTAGACAATTATAATGATTAAAAAATAAAACCACAACAGTGTTGAGGGCAGAGAAAGGCCCATCCTTAACCTGAAAGCAGGATCAGCAACTATACTAAAGATAATTTCCAGAAAAAAAGATCAAGAGAAGACTCTAATTCAACTCTAATACCACTAGATCACCCTTTCATTGGTCACCATCTTGTGTAACTCAATGAAGCTATGCAGGGCCACCCAAGATGGACAGGTCACAGTGGAGCGTGCTGACAAAACATGGTCCACTGGAGAAGGGAATGGAAAACCACTGCAGTATTCTTGCCTAGAGAACCCCATTAACAGTATGAAAAGGCAAAAAGATATGACACCGAAAGTGAGCTCCCAGAACAGAAGGTGCCCAATATGTTACTGAGGAAGGGCGGAGGACAATTACTCCAAAAAGAATGAAGCGGCTGGGCCAAAGCAGAAATGACTCTCAGTTATGGATGTGTCTGGTGATAAAAGTAAAATCTGATGCTGTAAAGAACAGTACTGCATAGGAACCTGGAATGTTAGGTCCATGAATCAAGGTAAATTGGAGGTGGTCAAGCAGGAGACGGCAAGAGCAAACATTGGTGTCTTAGGAATCAGTGAACTAAAGTGGACGGGAATGAAGAATTTAATTCAGATGACCATTAAATCTACTACTGTGGGCAAGAAGCCCATAGAAGAAATGGAGTAGCCCTCATAATCAACAAGAATCTGAAATGCAGTACTTGGGTGCAATCTCAAAAAGGACAGAATAATCTTGTTTTATTTCCGAGGCAAACCAGTCAACATCACAGTAATCCAAATCTAGGCCCCAACCACCTATGCCAAAAGAGCTGAAGTTGAGCAGTTCTATGAAGACCTACAAGATCTCCTAGAACTAATACCAAAAACAGGTGTCTTATTTATCATAAAAATTGGAATGCAAAAGTAGGCTGTCAACAGACACCTGGAGTAACAGGCAAGTTTGGCCTTGGAGTACAAAATGAAGCAGGGGAAAGGCTAACAGAATTCTAACAAAAGAATGCACTGGTTATAACAAACATTCTTTTTCAACAACACTAGAGACGTCTTTACATACAGACATCAGTAAATGGTCAGTACGGAAATTAGACTGATGACATTCTTTGTAGATGAAGACAGAGAAGCTTTAAACAGTCAGCAAAACAAGACCTGGACCTGACTGTGGCTCACATCATCAGCTCCTCAGAGCAAAATTCAGACTTAAACTAAAGAAAGCAGGAAAAACCACTAGGCCAGTCAAGTAAAACCTAAATCAAATCTTCTATGAATATATAGTGGAGGTAATGAATAGATTCAAGGGATTAGATCTAGTAACGAGAGTGCCTGAGGAACTATGGACAAAGGTTTGTAATACTGTACAGGAGGCAGTGAACAAAACCGTTCCAAAGGAAAAGAAATGCAAGGAGGCAAAGTGATTGTCTGAGGAGGCATTACAAATAGCTGAGGAAATAAGCAAAAAGCAAGAGAGAAAGGGAAAGGTACACCCAATTAAATGCACAGTTTCAAAAAATAACAAGGATAGACAAAGGCCTTCTTCAGTGAACAATGCAAAGAAACAAGAGGAAAACAACAGAAGGGGAAAGACTAGAGATCTCTTCAAGAAAATTGGAAATATCAAAGGAACATTTCATCCAAGACGGGTATAAGAAAGGACAGAAATGGTAAAGACCTAATAGAAGCAGAAGAGATCAAGAAGAGATGGCAAGAATACACAGAACTGTACAAAAATTCTTAATGAACTGGATAACCAAGATGGTGTGGTCACTCACCCAGAGCCAAACATTCTGGAGTGTGAAGTCAAGTGGGCCTTAGGAAGCACTGCTGCCAATAAAGCTAGTGGAGGTGATGGAATTTCAGCAAAGCCATTTCAAATCCTAAAGATGATGCTATTAAGGTGCTGCACTCAATATGTTAGCAAATTTGGAAAACCCAGCAATAGCCACACAACTGGAAAAGGTCAATATTCATCCCAGTTCCCAAGAAGGGCAACACTAAAGAATGTTCAAACCATCGGACAATTGTACACATCTCCCATGCTAGTAAGGTTATGCTCAAAATCCTTCAAGCTAGGTTTCAGCAGTATGTGAACCAAGAACTTCCAGATGTTCAAGGTGGGTTTAGAAAAGGCAGAGGAACCAGAGATCAAATTACCAACATTTGCTGGATCATAGAGAGAGCAAGGGAATTCCAGAAAAACATCTACCTTTGTTTCATTGACTACGCTAAAGCCTCTGACAGTGTGGATCACAACAAACTATGGAAAACTCTTAAGGAGATGGGAATAACAGACCACCTTACCTATCTCTGGAGAAGGAAATGGCAAGCCACTCCAGTATTCTTGCCTGGAGAAGTCCATGGACAGGAGACTGGTGGGCTACAGTCCATGGGGTCACAAAGAATAGGACATGACTGAGTGACTAACACACACTTGACCTGTCTTCTGAGAAAACTGTGTGCGGGTCAGGGAGCAACCGTTAGAACCTTATTTGGAACAACTGACTGGTTCAAAATTGAGAAAGAAGTATATGGCTCTATATTGCCACCCTGTTTATTTAACTTGTATGCAGAGTACATCATGAGAAATGCCCAGCTGGATGAGTTACAAGCTGGAATCAAGATTGCTAGAAAAAGTATCAACAGCCTCAGACATGCAGATGATACCATCCTAATGGCAGAAAGTGAAGATGTCTTAATGAAGTTGAAAGAAGCGAGTGAAAAAGCTGGTTTAAAACTCAACATTCAAAAAACTAAAATAATGTCATCCAGTCCCATCACTTCATGGCAAATAGAAAGGGGAAAATGTGGATGCAGTGAGATTTCCTCTTCTTAGGCTCTAAAGTCACTGCAGATGGTGACTGCAGCCATGAAGTTAGAAAATGATTGCTTCTTGGCAGGAAAGCTATCACAAACCTACACAGTGTATTAAAAAGTAAAGATAGCACTTTGCCAACAGAGCTCTGTATAGTCAAGACAATGGTCTTTGCAGTGGTCATGTATGGATGTGAGAGTCGGACCATAAAGGCAGCAGAGTGCCGAAGAATTGATGCTTTTGAACTGTGCTGCTGGAGAACACTCTTGAGATTCCCTTGGACAGCAAGGAGATCAAACCAGTCAATCCTAAAGGAAATCAACCCTGAATACTCACTGGAAGGACTAATGCTGAAGCTGAAGCTCCAATACTTTGGCCAACTGATACAAACGGCCAACTCATTGGAAAAGACCCTGATGCTAGGGAAGACTGAAGACAGAAGAGGGCGACAGAGGATGAGATGGTTGGATGGCATCACTGATTCAATGGACATGAACTTGGACAAACTCTGGGAAATGGTGAGGAACAGGGAGTCCTGGCATGCTAGTCTATGGGGTCACAAAGAGTTGAATACAACTTGGCAACTGAACAACCACCACCACCACGAGATCATCTGCCTCTTCTTTTCAGAAGCTTTTAACTCACTGTTAAAACCCAGCATCTCACCAAGGGCTAAGTGTCATTACTGTAAACTTCCTTTTAGGATTTATAGCAACTCCTTCTTCATGCCCTTAGCTCAGAGACTGACACATATAATAGAGTCTCAATAAACATGTACTTAATGAATGAATCAAATAATCTTATCATCTACTTGTCATTACCAAACATACTCTCTCATTAGAGAACTCACACAAAATACAGATAATTCTCTAGTTAGGTTTCACCAAGTCTACAATGTTCTCAGGTATCAAAGGAACAGATATTGAAATCAGACACAAAAGAGCTATGCAATCCACAACCTACTTTAGGAAAAAGTACATTCTATATCGACAAGCTGTTACTTAACAGATACCAAGAGAACAGGTACAGGAAGCCTGATATAAGGAGTTTATCTTGTCTCAACCAACTGCTTTGTTACAGGATCCCTGACAGATTTCTCACTCATACTTGTTATATTCCTTAGGATCATTAAGAACATAGCCCATTCCACAAAAGCAACTTTGAGAAATTAAAAATTAAAGAGAGGAACACAGAAGCCAGAAGAATGGATTCCAAACACAGACATGCTGCAAATTAACTGTAATTGGGGGACGTTCCTACTACTGTCTAGGTCTTAGTTTTCCTGTTTATGAGATTAAAAAAAAAAACACTGGACTAGATCAAAGAACTGTCAACCTTTCTTTTTTAACTTGCCAACCTAAGGGAACATGACGTACTCCGTCAGTTACATTTTCTCAAGACAACAGTATTTTCTCAGTTAGTGTAAGGTCATATCAGAAAAAGAATGAATGTACAAAATATACGTGTAGTGTTTACCATTACAATTTTTTTTTTATTTATTATAAATGTAAAGACAGACAGGAAGTGGCCTGATTCCAGCATCCCAGGCTTCCAGCAAGAGGTGCTGCTGCTGCTGCTAAGTCGCTTCAGTTGTGTCCGACTCTGTGCGACCCCACAGACGGCAGCCCACCAGGCTCCTCCGTCCCTGGGATTCTCCAGGCAACAATACTGGAGTGGGTTGCCATTTCCTTCTCCACATTACAATTTTTAAATGGAGAAAAAGGAAGAGAAAAAAAAAAAGATAGACAAGTGATTTCCAAAAGTTTCAATTTTATACCTTTGACCAAATAAAAACTTATTTAAAGGAGATGAAGGAAAAGTCTCTTTTTAGAGAAGAATTCTAGATAATAAACGAATAAGGAGTAACAATTAGAATATCACTGCTTTGGAACTCCTAATGAATTTAGGCAATGGGTACATAGGGGTTCATTATTCTAGGCTTATTTTTTACATCTGTTTTAAATTTCATTGATAAAAATGTTTTCAAGTCATTTGAGACTGTTAAAATTGTTACACCATGCCAAGTAAACAGTAGAGCAAGGACTATATTTGTGGTCACAAGTCCCAAGTTGAATCCTGCTATACTCTTCTTAGTAGATAATGTCTTTAGCAAACAATTCAACTTTCTTTGAGCTTTACCTGTTAAACAGGTATAATAATCCTGGGGTTCCCAGGAAAATTAAATGAGCAACATGTAAAAACAGTAACTCTATTTAGTAGATCCTTTAAAGAACAAAGCAACTTCCTTCTTGATACATGGAAGTCAGCCACACAGTACCGTGAGCATCTTTGGCATGCTGAATGGATTCCACAGTTTGTTTCATCACTCCATCATCTGCAGCTACCACCAATATAACAATGTCAGTGACCCGAGCGCCTCTGGCTCGCATTGCTGAAAAAGCAGCATGTCCTGGAGTATCAAGAAAGGTTATCTTTTCCCCAGAGGGCAAAGAGACTGTAGAAACAGAAATACAAGATCACTAAGGACTCAAACAAGAACACACATCACCTTATCAACACAATTAATAATTCTTCAAAATAATTTTATTCTTTCCATTAATCTGAATTAGAACAATATAGATCATCAATCCACAATGAAGTGATAACATACCAGTGAGACCTTTACAGTTTCTTTTTATGTAATCATTTCAAACTAAAATTTTTCCTATTTCTAGACTATAATATAAATGTACAACAGTATACATATAAATGTATATATTATAATAAAATACCAATTGAAATCTAGAGGAAAAAGCAGACTGATAGTTGTATAGGCAGCCACTCCCACATTAGCCAACACCAGCTGCACAACTGCTGTGAGCAACAAATGCAATTTAGTACACAGTTAGAAGCTCAGGATTTGAGTCCAATAGCGTGGGGTTTAAATCCTGGCTTTGCCACTTACTAGCTGTGTACTTTGAAGCAAGTAGCTTAACCTAAACAAGTCTCAGCCTCTTTACATGTATATAGGACTACTAATACCTACCTCATGATGCTGTTGTGAAGATAAAAAAGATAAAGCATACAACGTTCTCAGAATAGAGATGGGCACATGCTAGGTGTTCAGCAAATGACAGCTGTTATTTAATTATGAATGGTAACACTATCACAACCTAGTATTGAAGAGTCTTAGGCTCACTGAACCAAACTAAGAATGGGCTAGAATAAAAAAGGTGTAATTTTGTCTTAAACTACATACAAAATAACCTTTACCAGCCACCTGCTGTACATTTGATCTAATGGCTTTAAGCTTTAACCTTTCTTTTACTTTAAATTTGTATACTCATACTATGACACCTGGTTTAAGAAAATAATATGCGGGGTTCCCAAGCACATTGTAAGGTGATTTGTGTTCATACCAAGAAAGGCACCAATGTGCTGAGTGATGCCTCCAGCTTCCATTGCTGCCACTTGAGTTTTTCGCAGTTTGTCAAGTAACGTCGTTTTCCCATGATCAACATGGCCCATTATAGTAACAACTGGGGACCTTGGGATTAATAAAGCTGGATCTGCCTGGGGCCTACAATTAACAGCAAAGGAGTTTCATTTCTTAAATATCAGAAACACTTTATAGCCTATGAACTGATTTGCAGTTACCTCTGTGCACTACCTTTAACAACAAAACCCAAAATTCAGCTCTGATTAGATATGACTGTTTTCCTCTTCTATGCATACCAGTGACTTACGATGATATATACAATGACTGCCCACTGCTGTTGGCATCTTAATAACAATGAGCAGAACTGAATGAAATTTTAAAATTTAGGATCAGTATACACAAATCAGCAAACTAAGAAAAATAACCCTTAGAGTTTTATAATAACCTGAAAATACACTTTTTGATGCTTTAAGTACTTTGAAGAAAAGTTTAACATATACTCACAGATCATTTTAATTGCAGAAGAAATTTTAAGTCAAATCTTTCCATTAAAAAGTATGAGAAAAAAAAAAACAAAAAACCAATGTTGTCTCCTTCCCCCAATTTACACAGTAAAATTTTACCTTTTTACAGCATCTTTATTTTCCCTGACTTTGTCTTGTGTTAATTTGCTCCATTTTAACTTCATTCCTGACTTCTTTATCACTTCTTTGATCCAGACTTCATCTAAATGTGAGTGTGTTTCTAGTGAATCTATGTCAATAGCAGTGTTCATTAAAGATTCATATACAGAGTCTAGGTGAAACAAGATAAAACCTTTTAGGATCATGAATTAAACATAACTAAAAAAAAAAAATCCCAGATGCTGCCACTAAAGATCCTGCATGCCATAACCAAGACCTGGAGCAGCCAAATAAATAATTTTTTTTTAAGTTGCACTGTTACTACACTGTATTGTAATTGTTATTGTATTCTATAGTCATGACTACAAATATTTTTTTGCCTGCACTACACTACAAATATTGTCAAAATGAGTGCAAGAAGAAAGTTTGAGAATTACAGGTAAACAAAGGGAAAGTAAATGAATAGAAACACAGTCTCAGTCCAAAAACATCCTTTGGATTTATTCTAATAGCCCACAAGACTTCTGAGAAAGAAAGTTTCATTCAAATTTAAAAAATATCTTTCCCACTTTTATTAAAACAAAATCTTGGAGAACTATATTTGCCAAAGAGCCAAGAAACTAATTAGGAACTGTCACCTAAAGTGAAAAATATTGAAATTACTTAACATCTTTTTAAACCACCCATCTAATTTTCATCCTTAAATACCTCAATCTCACTGCAAATAAAATACCAGGTATTCCATATTTATAGGAAAATGTTTCCCTACTTTTCATTATAAAATTATCTGGCTCACCTATGTCTTTTTCCATTGCTCTGGCCAACTCCTCAACAGTCATTCCAAGCCACACCTCCACCTCCTTTTTAGATTTTGTTGAAGGTAATGGAGATTTCTGTGATCTTTTTTCCTATTAAATATTCAGAATGCATAAAGAAGGAAGAAAAAACTTTGAGATTTATTCTGGAATATATACCACAGTCATGGCTCCTATTTCTACCAACTCTCCCATAAGTAGTTAAACCTCAAGACTAAAATTTAAAATCTTGCATTCTTAATTCACTGTTATATACTGATATAAGTCATCAAATTCATCAATATTACTACACAACGAACTAGAACCTCCCTTCCTCACAAAGATTTATTGCCTGGAGTAAAGCATTAAGGCATAAAGATTTCATAAATGACAAAATACTCAAAATGGACTTCTACTCATCAGTCTAGGAACTTTCATCTCAGACCAAATAACAGAGAAATCTCTAAGTACCTTCTTTGTCACCAGAAGCCTACGTTGAGATAATGCAGCCCTGATGAGTGCATCTGTTTGCCAGGGCCGGGTGTACAGCTGAGCTGTCTGCGCTGCATAAGCAGCTGAAAACACAGGCCTCCACTGTGCCAACATTCTTCTCTGACACAGGCTGTGCAGCTGCCTACAGATAGTGTGAAATCGTAGCAAGTTCTCCAACTTCAGTACCTTCCGGTTCATGTTTCTCCTAGGAGACAAAGTTTTAAAAGAATATTGTGGTCAATATTGAAATCAAGTTGCTGCTGCTGCTGCTAAGTCGCTTGAGTCGTGTCCGACTCTGTGCGACCCCATAAACGGCAGCCCACCAGGCTCCCCTGTCCCTGGGATTCTCCAGGCAAGAACACTGGAGTGGGTTGCCATTTCCTTCTCCAATGCATGAAAGTGAAAAGTGAAAGTGAAGCCGCTCAGTCGTGTCCAATTCTTCGCAACCCCATCGACTGCAGCCCACCAGGCTCCTCCGTCCGTGGGATTTCCAGGCAAGAGTACTGGAGTGGGTTGCCATTGCCTTCTCCAGAAATGAAGTTAGGAAACATTAATAGGATATGTACCGCATGAAAAGCGTAGCTAGTGTTTCAACAATGAGTAAAACTGGGTTTCCACCATGAGAGAGCTCACAGTCCAGTCACAGAGATGGGATGTCATACCAAGTATTCTCTAGATATTAACTATTACTGTTGTTAATGTTCCTACGATTCTGACATACAATACCTTATAAGGGCTCTTTTTTCTTGAAACATCAACTGACCAAATCACAACTAGAGTGATATTTTAACACAAATTTGAACTCATCAACTCTTTGCTAAACATCCTTTGTGGCAGCTAGAAGGGGATTATCCCTAGTTTAATATACAACTTCAAAACATGCTATATAAGGCTCATTATCTGTCTTCTGTCAATCTCTCACTTCATCTCTTACAATCTTATAGTTCCCTCACGCCTACCTCCCATATTTTTGTTGCTCTGTCCCACATATAATCTCTGATGGTCGTCATCTAATCTTTGAACCTTTGCATATGCTCCCTCTACTTGGAAGTGTCTTTCAACCCTAACATTTGCCCTTCTTCCACAGCTTTTTCCCAAAAAAGGATGTAAGAGTGGGAAGAAGGCACCCAATAAATACCCACTGAATAACATTTTTTGATTGCTCTTGTTTTGAGATTTATTTATTTCTGCCTGTGCTGGTCTTAGTTGCTGCTCATGGGCTGTCTCTAGCTGTAGTGAGTGGGGGCTACTCTCTAGTTGAGGTGCACAGGCTTCTCATTGTGATAGCTTCTCTTATTGCAGAGCACAGCCTCTAGGCACAAGGGTTTCAGTAGCTGCACCACGTGAGATCTATAGTTGTGACTAGAGAGCTCTAGAACACTGGCCCAGTAGTTGTAATGCATGGGCCTAGCTGCTCCTTGGCATGTGGAATCTTCCCGGACCTGGGGTCAAACCTGTGTCTCCTGCAGTGGCAGTAGGATTCTTAACCACAAAACCAACAAGGAAGCCCCTGAATATTACTCTTCAGAAGAAAGAAGAGTTTATTGAGAAACTCACAATAGAACTCAACAGGATAGCTCAGAACTCGGTAGTAGAGTCTTTTCCTCCTTGAGTCTTCTATCTCTTCTGATTACAAGACTGCAGTTCTACAGCTTTGTTTTCAGTGTTTAAAGGAAGGAGCAACTAAAAGAACACAAGAAGTACTACTTTTCTCCCTGGCAAACATTTCCTTAGCACCATCTTCCAGGGACTGCATTTGAGGTTGTTGATTCAAAGTTTAATAAGCCAGAGTTACTTCCTTTGGAGTTCACCGTCTCTAAAATGTTCCAGTATAATGATTCTTAAAACACCTCAAGAATGGCACATTTAAACAATCTTATTTGGGTACATTTCCCTGAAGGATGAAGTAGAGTCCTCAGGAAGCAGAGAATTCCTTGCGGGGGAGGGATTCTTTTTTAAATGCGTTTAAAACCAGATTTAACAAGGACACGAACTAATGCAGTGGTAGGAAAGGTCCTTCACGGAGATTAACCAAAGCACAGATATTTCACTGAGGCAGATATTCGAAAAACACATGGGGAGGGGGGCAATAAACCAAATACCCAAACTGGAAGGAAAACTTGCCACTTATTCCAACCCTCTCGTTTTATACAAAAGGAAAATGGAGTCCAGAGAGCTCAAAAAGCCTTCTCTAAAGTTATACTGCTAGTTACTGACAGTCAGGATTAGAACCCAGGCTTTCTGACTCCCAATTCCGGTGTTCCTTTGCCACTAGGATATTATTATGGAACCTGAAAAAAAAAGATGTTGGAAATAATGTAGTTGCGTTGGTTCAAACATCTGAATGAAACAATTGAAAACCTTGGAAGTTATGTGTAAGGTAAAAAGAAGTCACTATACAAGAATGACGGATCTAAGTTAGCTTCACCTGGAACCCGAGTCCAATAAGCCTTGAATATAGCGGAGGCGGGGAACGCGGGACCACCTGCCGCGGGGCTCAGGGAAAGGAAGCAGTCCGCTGCTTCCGGCTGGATAACTCCTTCATCATGCCTAAAGCAGGGGCACGTACGGATTAGGTGCATCATGGAAATGCTCCTGAATGCGCAATGTTTATCATCTGTGCCGCTGACACTTTAGGCCAAAGAATACAATACACACCACCCAGTAAGACCCGGCTAAGGGACCCACCCCCTGGCCCCTCACCTAGCTCCTACCTAGGACCCAGGACTTCAGGATTCTGATGGGGGCGGAGATCACCTTCCGGACCGACAGGACAATCAGCCAGTCCGTCCCCGAAACGGTCCCTCTCCGGCTTCCGTTGCCGCCGGAAGCGGCTCTACCCGGAATTCGGAAGTCCCTACTTCGGAACTGTAGCTGTAACCTTTGTTGAAGCTCTACTCGTGTTGCTGTGCGTGGATGAATAATCGCTTTTACAGATCCCTTCCCTTCCTAGAAAGTAAATTACTGCTACTCTGGGGCCGTGAGTGGCCTCCATGCATACGCTAAAGGGAAAGTTAAATGGGGAAATGTGGGAGAAATAAGTCCTTAAAACACATTACTTCCAAAAAGGGAGAAATGCAAGGGAACGCAGTGATAATAGCGATGAGGGAGGAGCGCTTTCTCTTTTAAAAGTCGCCTCCTGTGGGTGGCATTTGAAGTAGTAAAGCTCGAGTGGGTTCCAATCCCAGCTCATTCCCAGTTGTCTATTCAGGGACCTTATGTAAACTCCCTGTGCTGCAGTTTTGCAATATGGTAATAATACTGCAGTGGGTAGCCATCCATTCCCTTCTTAAAGGGATCTTTCTGACCCAGAGATCGAACCTGGGTCTCCTGCATTGCAGACAGATTCTTTACCGACTAAGCCACCATGGAAGCCCTGGTTATGGTAATGGTTTTGTCCCTAAGTCGTGTCCAACTCTTGCAACCCCATGGACTGTAGCCTGCCAGGCTCCTCTGTAATAATAGTAGCTGCTTAATAGGATAGCAGTAGCAGAAAAGTTCATAAAGTAGCTGGTTCATAAGGGTTTGCTGTTGTTATTATTAGCTTCCTCCCAGAACATTTCCACATCTTGATTGGACGTTGTCTTCTGGCTTGTCACCTTGCCCTCAACCGCCACTATTCTCAGGAGGCTTGTTTTATTTCTGTCCTCGAGGTCTTAACACTACCCTAGGCTAATGGAGAGTTTCTTACTGTTATCTGCTTTCTCCCTCCCTAGTGTGGACTCCTAACTCATGCCCCATCCCCTTTTTTCATGTTTGTCTCCCCAGTGTCACCACAAAGATGTGTAGGCAGTGTTGCTGAATGATTGGAAACCTCTGTCCAGGAAATCTTTTTAATGAACCTAACACTCTTGAAAACTACTGAAGTTTCAACTAAAACCAAAAACTACTGAAGCGTTTCAGTTTGCTATCATTTTACTTACTTTTCACACTCACTGAAGTGCAATTTCTGTGAGAAATTCTTTGCTCTCTCTGCTTTGCCAAATAGTTAAGAAGCAGAAATTGATTGGTAGACCATCAAAGTAATGGTCATACCATTCTCCCCAATATTAAAGTGAAAATAACCAATACATTTCTGATCATGAAGATACACATACTAATGTGGAAAATTCAAGCAACACACCAAAATATAGAAAGTGGAGGGAGCAAGGAAGGAAGGAAGGAAGGAAATGAGGAAGGAAATAGAATGAGGGCAGTTAAATAGGCACCAACCTGAAAAAGACAAAGCTGGAAACTTCTGAACAACAAAATAATGGAGTGTTAGATAATAATTCAAAATAACAAATGAGGGACAGGGAGAAATCCTCCTTATAGAATAATTACACATAATAAATGTTTATTAACTTCTACTCTGAGTTAAAGCTGAGTCCCCACCTCCAATCCCTTGGGTGTGGACTGGACTTAATGACTTGCTTCCAAAGAACAGAAATATGGAAAGGGAAAACTAGTACCTTCATAACGGAGAAATCTGGCAGACACCACCTTAACCAACCTATCAAGGAAAACACCAGTAATGTCATGTTGACATCAATAACCCCCTGAAATGATGTGATAAGGACATTACATCTCTGTAATATTTGCCCCCAAAACCCACAACCCTATTACAATCATGGGGGAAACATCAGACAACCCAAATTAAAGAGCATTCTACAAAATATCTGAGCAGAAATTTTCAAAGTTGTCAAGGTCATGAAAAACAACAAAAGACAAGGAAACTACCACAGATCTGAAGAATAAGGAAACGTGATGACTAAATACAATGTGGGATCCTGTATAGAGTCCAGGAACACAAAAGCACACTAGTGGAAAAACTTGTGAAATCTAAATAAAATCTGTAGTTTAGTTAATTGTAATACCCCAGTGTTAACTGCTTAATTCTCACAAACGTATCACAATAATATGTTAACATTAGAGGAAACTGAGTGAAGGACATTCAGGAACTACCTACTATCTTTGCAAATTAAAATTTATTTGAAAAAACAATTTTGAAAATTTTTCGGTTGTGACACTCAACTTGCAGGATCTTAGCTTCCAAACCACGGATCAAACCCAATGCCCCTGCAGTGAAAGCTGAGTCCCAACCACTGGATCACCAGGGAGTTCCCTAAAAAGAATTCTTTATAAATTTTTCCCTGTTGGTAAAATAATTCAGTCACCTGCATTTATCAGATGCTACCCTCTCCTGGGCTTCCCTGGTG